CCGTGCAGTCAACAGATTTGGGGAGGATTGTGGCTCCGGTAACCTTACTCACAAGCGAAACACAACACAGCTGGATTACACCGGTATTCTGTGAGGCCGTGCTATCTTCGATGGAGCTGACCCATTCGTACCGAAACATGGTTCTGTCCCACCTAGCTATGAATAGACAATCAAAGTAACATTAGATTACCTAACTCTTCGAGTTCTTCTAGGCCTTTTCTTTCGAAAGTACAGCAGCACAGCCTAAAAATAACTCGCACTTATCTTTTAAAGACTATGACACATCCCCCTTTCGCTGGACCGTGGGAACGTGCGATCATTACCTGACTTGCGCCGACGCCGCACTTACGTAATTGGCACTGATTTTACGAATAATCACTGGGAAGGGCGCACTGCCATTGAAATTGAAAGGGAAGGTACGATTAGTATGCAAATTGTAGAGGAGTTTGTTCGTGATCGTAAAGACCTGTGCGTTGCGTTTTTGTATTGAAAGTAGTCTATCAGAGTCACCAGAGAACTTAATTTCTACATCTTTAATACTACCATTAACAATTGACTACATATTTATCATTAGTTGAGTAATTTGAAAACAAATGAAATTTCGGTAGTCACAATTTCTTCGAGAAATACGTTTACTAGTTAAAATTTTATACTGTTTGTTACATTATGAGTACTTCTTTTTTATTTATTGATAGGCTTCATGCACAAAAGCAGTGGGTATTCTTTACCAATCAAATGTTTGGGTGATGCGATAAACCAGAAGTACATAGGTGCACAAAGCATAATCTAGATCATATTATCCATAGACTGACATAAATCATTTTATACTAGACTGCTCATTCCCAGTTTTCTTTTAAATTTCCATCCAAATATTGTCTGGTAGAAATTACCCTGTGTTAGGACCGCCCATTGTACACCCTATAGTTATAAGCCTGTTCTTTGAAGATATGTGCAATAAAGCTGTACATATACCTACACAAATAAATACATTTCCTCATTCACTAAAATGACTCACATTTATCAATACGCCTAAATACAAAGTATCACCTATAAACACCATTTTCTGCAAACACGAACACAGTCATTACTGATACTAGATAACAAATAATAGCACCGAGGTAGAGACAAAATATATAGCTTTATTATGATCGTAAACGTAAGGTCCAAAGCCTTGGTATTGCACTTCGCGAGTACATCGAATATGTCCAAGGGCTATAGTCATTGACCATACGAGAAGATTAAAGAACAGCAATTTATTCGCTTCATACACAAAAAACGAGTGTCTTTACGCCCAGCGGCGTTTCATATCGCACTACGCACGGTCACATTCTTGCCCCGCTTGTTCGACTACCCGCACGAAAAAAAGGCAAAAAGTGCCATTCGCCCCGCGGCCACGGGCGCGAACGGACGTCCCCTGTCGCTGCGTTGTGGGAACGTTTAATACGCTCATTTGTTACACTGTCATGTAATTTGTGGTTAAATGATAAGAGATTTATGTTTTTGATATTTGATATCGGTTTACGATATATTTTTTTATGTATCATTCATTTTATTTGTAATTAATGTTTGTTTGAAATACAACTTCTTGTGGATAATAAAAATACGGTGGCATTTACGTTCATCTTCTCCTTTTAATTCCTTCTGAATGCTAATTAATAAAATTGCATGGAATCAACAAATTCAAAGAAAAAAATTATGTAATCTTCAACAAAATTAAATAATTTATTTTATAATAATATTAAATATGAATACTGCATCACCCTTGTTTTAGTTTAGTAGAGTAATTGGATTTATTTTAAAAGTTCTCTGGCAATATTTGCGTCGGTGTAATAGCAGTCCAACTTTAAATGTTATGCGCACATCGATAAAGCGTAACAATAGCTCACCGCGGGCTAAGAGCATTGTAGTGAATACAAGATTTCTAAATAACAACAGTTTTCGCAATACATTATCATCCGATAAAAGGATTGCACATGTTTTGTTCTTTGGCAACCAAATTGCAGCTTAATATCGGTCGGGGATTAGGTATTTTCGGGGTTCTGTGTAGGAGATATCAAAACTTTTGTATAGTATTCAGTAATTTTAGGGGGAGACTAGGGGATATTGTAAACAATCTGGGGTCTTTAATTAATTTATCTACAAGAGAGAAGGAGAAGTGGGATTTACATGACTTTTTATTAGTTATATTGTTAACGCTAAGTAAGCACCGAACCTATTTTTAGATCTCGGACACAGTATCAATAGATAAAGTAATAGATAGTGATGCTGTGCCAAACTTATAATTATATCAACCATAGCTGACGGTGTTAGCGCAACGATGTATCGTAGCCTAGCTCGGAGCAGGGGAAGGAATGGTATGCTTTTTAGTCACTGAGAATTCCAAAACTCGACTAGACAAAATAATACTTTGTCGGACCTGCAAATCGAACACTCGCCTTACCTAGATCATCATTACCTAGACCTACATTGCACTACTGACCCCTCATCTTTTAATAATATAAAAATTCAAATATTTTTAGTTGTCGGATATCACAGTGTATCCGTTTTTTATTGCCACCATAAAAATAGTCCTAGTTAGTTGAAAAAAGGACCATTTTTGACCCACAATTCAGTTTTTTTGACTATAAAACATTAGAGAGTTCTGCTTAGCCCATAATGATTCGGTCAAAGTGTGGGTTGTGAAGTAGCTGTTTCGTGGTATATGGCATTCAAAATTGCATGTTGCATAATAGCCTAACAATTGTTTTGTGTTGTGTCCATATTTTGGTGCCGACAAGATTTTTCAATCTGGTTAGAAGTTCTTAACACTTATTGATTTGTTTAAAACCTGAAGTCACCCTTAAACTGCTAGTAACCATCACCTCAAAAGATAGTCAACAACTATCCATATTTTTTCCGATCTCATAGCTGCCTTTCAGGCAGGAGGATAACGGTAAATCCCTTTTCAGCAGTGACGGTATGTAAGCTGATGATGATGATGTAGTTAACTACAATGCACATTAGAAATTTTTTCTCCTAAGCAGGATCAGGTTCAAAAATACCCTGCCTGAAGATCAACCCCATTTCCACAAGTAAAAAATAATTTAATAAAGACAAGAATATGAAGTCAAACTTGCTACTGGAAGTAGTCCTTCAAAACACACCCAGAAGTATCAACATCATAGTTGATTCCTAACGGCCATTTCTTAATCGCCCCACAATAATTGCCACAACTTGCCCCATCATAAATCATGGCTCTAATTAGATATACAGAACGTCTTCTGACGGTTAGCCTCCTCATAATTACACCGGTATCTTTGTTGAACCCAATTTGATTCAGAGATTTTTTCGGCAATTCGTTTTGATGGTAATATTTCGAATGTAGATATGAAGTTTATAGTTGTGATTCGATTTTTTGATTCGTCACGGCTGTCGTAAATTGTTGTGGTTTTGTAGTAAGTGGTAAGGACCATTTACTTTGTACTTGTTTCGTAAGCAGATCTCGGTTATGATCAGATGGGTGTTTTAGGTCCAAGTTAAAACGCACTGAGATGTAAGATAGTCGATTGGTCATTGTTAGTACTTACTTATAACTAGGGCAAATCCTAGTGTAGGTTACGGCTGCAGGCACAATGATGAATCGTGGTTTGGCTTGGAGCAGGAGAACACATGAGATGATTTTTAGACTATAAAACTCCGACTTCTTCTAGCCTCACCCAAGAAATACACCAAATAATTGGATGATTTTTCTCCTCAAAACAAGGTACTTATAACTGTTAATATGAATTTATATAACACCAACTTTTACTAGTAGCCCCTGAGTTATCCCAGACTATAATCTATTGTGTGCCAAATTTCATTCCGATCCAGTCAGTCGTTTTTAAGTGACGTAAGAAACATACAACTTAAACGATTTTTCATTTATAATATTAACAGGATAACAGTGTTATCTAGGAAATGTAATTCATAAATTTGATTTTGTATTTGCGTGTCATTTTTGTTATCACAAAACTTATATTGCAATTTTCGGAAATGTTGACAACATTTTCCAGATTTCAATGATTTCACACTATTTTTAGTAAGCACTTCATCAAATTTCGTATAAGAAATGACTATAGTTTGCGATAGTAATCTTTTATCTTTTAATACTTAAATATTATGATGGATAACCGTGCTAGACAATGGTGACGAAATCCTACATTATAAATATATGAAATTAATAATATTAATTAATAACGGAAATCGTTTTGATATGACTATTATTTTCAGAATTACGTCTGCAAATTCTATAATTATCATATGAGTAAAACGTATCTATAAAATAACAAAATATAGTACATATATGAACATTTCAAGATAAAAATGATATTTCCACTTCATATGGACCGGAGACAAGCCAGCGATTCCTACGACTATTAGAATAACTGTAACTGTTCATTTTTCAACATATGTAGTTTCCTCTCATGATTACAATATAACGATAAGTTTTCGTCCATCTATATAAAGACCAAATATTCAAACCTTTTTTTAAGACAAGTAATAACCGAATTTCAATCCAAATCACTGTCAATTTGATAACACGTGCGAAGATAATGACACGTGTAATGTTCAATGAAGCATAACAAATTTTAGGCCTGATATCAGATAAAATTCACGTCAACTTAATAATTAAAATATTGCCAATATTGACAGTAATAAATTCGTTGGTGGTAGACGTACTTGTGAAGTGAAAAACAGTGCTAGTGTTAATTCTTATTAAGAATTTGCGACGCCACAAATATCCAATGACATAAATACAATTTGGGAGAATCCAACAGTGATAGCATCGATTTATATTGGACTGATAGTGATCGATGATACAGATCTTTATCATCTGTGTTTGTTGTTGTGACTTCTGTTTTTGGAACATACAATTTAAAATAAGAGACAATAATAAAGGAACAGGGATAGTCAAAGAAAAGGTGGATTCAAGGCATAAAAGAAATCAATCAAGGAATTGAGAAGAACATTGCAAAACGTGGATTATTTTAAAATAAATGTCCATTATTTCTTATCATCAAGTCTACAGCTAAGCATTAATTTTGTATGGGACCAATTTATGATCTGAAAAATAGTAGATTTTTTTTCTTAAACTAATAAACTTAACAGTTATTTCGTACTTTTGCACTCACTCAACTACGTGTGCGAAGTCGCGCCGCTAATCCAATATCTACTTCTACTAATTGTTCCCATTATCAGTGCAACGTCGTATCGTTCGCTCTTCTTTCATATATAAACAGAATTAAGTCGAACGCGCCTATCATTAATACTAAATTAGCCACTACGGTGACATCTACAAAAATGTTTGTTTATCTACCAACTTTAATAACATTCATTTGCGGCCTTTACTTGTATTTCACAAGAGGTTTCGACTTTTGGAAAATAAGAAATGTGAAAGGACCAAACCCCATACCATTTTTTGGCAACTACATTGACGTATTCTTCAGAAGAAAACATATTGGTGTTCTGTACCATGATATTTATAAACAATATCCAGATGAAAAAGTTGTGGGCTTGTTCCGAATGATGTCACCGACTTTGTTGATTCGTGACCTTGATATAGTGAAACAAGTGCTAATAAAGGATTTTGAATCTTTTCCCGACCGCGGAGTGTACTACAGTAAGCAAAAGTTAGGAACAAATCTTTTCCACGCCGATGTCGAAGTGATGAAAGCATTAAGAAAACACCTGACAGCTGTATTCACATCAAACAAATTCAAGACCAATTTTGACATGCTTGTTAATCGAGCGGAGCAGTTTAGTGAATATATGGGAAGAATTAACCAGGCAAATGGAGAAGTAAATATGCTGCCAGTTATGAGAAAGTACGGTGCGGATTCCATTATGATGGCAGCTTTTGGTCTCGATTTGAAACCTTACGACGACACCAACCCTATATGTGATGTTTTGGACGAAGGGATCCAGAAACCTAGTTATTTCACTGAACTAGAATTACTTTTCCCTGGTAGTCTTACAAAATTTGATTTATCAATATTTCCTGATAAAATAACTCAGTATTTTAAAGGAATCATTGAAGCCGGTGCGACACTTCGAGTCACAGAAAAATCTGAAAAAAATAGAGCTATTGATGTTATGATGGTATTAAAAAGACAAGGAGCGGTCAATGCCTCTAAAAAAGGAGATGGCGAAAACGAAGCCGTGGTGGAAATCACAGACGAGCTGTTAGCTGCTCAAGCATTTATCTTCTTCTTTGCAGGCTATGGAAATAATTCTTTACTCACATCTTATGCATTATATTACTTGGCAAAAAATCCCGAAAAACAAGATATTTTGATACAAGAAATTGATGAAGTTTTACTAAAGCACGATGGTAAATTTTCTTACGAAGCATTAAAAGAGATGAAGTACGTAGGGATGGTTTTTGAAGAGACTTTGCGTCTACACCCTTTGACAAACGCTGTTGTTAGAAATGCTGCGCGAGACGTCCAGCTGGAGGGTACAGATATAATAATTCCTAAAAATACTATTCTTGCGATATCTCCATACTCATTTCAGCATGATGAGAAATATTTCCCTGAACCAGAGAAGTTTAAACCTGAGAGGTTTTCTGCGGAAAATGTGAGAGAACTGCATCCCTGCGCCATGTTATCCTTCGGACTTGGGCCAAGGAGTTGTCTCGGTGAGTACTAACAATTTTTGTAAAAAAAATCACAAATAATCATATTATTGTATGAATCTTATCTTGTAATCTATTTTTTTTATAATCCAACAGCAAATCCGTCATTAATTTAATCTTTTTATTAACGATGCAATTGTTATCAATTATTATTTGGTTGCGTTCTTATTCACTAAATAGCGTCATTTTTGCCTACCTCTTTGTTGAAGTTGATGCAGTCACGTATTTGAAATGTGATTCAAAATACAAACATGTATATAGTAATTAACAGGGACTCTTATTTAAATTTGTTGTTAACCTTTTTCTTTTCTTCCTTTCAGGTTCAAAGTTCGCACAACTCCAGTTCAGTATATGTATAGTAAAGATATTATTGAAATACAGAGTGGAATGCACCAAAAACACTCCAGAAACCCTTTCGTATACTCCCATGCGACTCTTACTCACTCCCAATGAAAGAATAAATCTCCGATTAGTTAGTAGAGATAAGTCATACTAGTTTATAGTAATCCAATTAGGTTCTTTCAATAAATTAATCCTGTAAATACGCTTAGGTATAACAATTAAATTATTATAATTTTAATACTCATTCCTTGTTTTATTCGAATCCCTAAACATTAAAAAGTATTAAGTTATAAACATTGATTTTCCTTGTAACGCACGCAAAGCTCGCTATGTTACAAAACAGTCGGTTTATCTGCGCAAACGCATCAACACGTACTCGGCTATCGGCCAATCGCGTTCGAGGGCGGGAACGGAGAACGTTGCCTTTCGAAAAAAGAGCTCTGCGTTCCATTTGTACGATGTATCTTTAGTTTTTAATGAGTACTTGACAACCTTTATGAGCTGAGGCTGGATTTAAAAAGGTTTAATTATAAAACTGGGATAAAGATTTTTTTAATAAAGATGAACTCAATGTTTGCTGGTGGGCAAGGGATTTCGAGTTCGATTCCTGGCAAAGTAATATAAGGTATTTTGGCTTCTCAATTTAAAATTATCAGTTATATTCAGAAATTTGTAATTTATTTTATATTATTTTTTTATCGGTGTACATCAAAATAGCCCCTCTGTCACATTGATTACATAGAGAAATGACACCTCGGTTCCGCAATAAATGTAGGTACCTGTGGCCCCGCTTTGAACCAGGAGAAGGCAGTAGGAGTAGAGAGAGTTCTCTTTTATACCCCCCCCCCCCTAGGGAGGGCGACGTAACGTTTTTTCTACCCCTAACAAAATACACAAGAGAACAATCACTATAAGTGAATAAAAATCGTTTTAATTGATATAACATCGGGTATGTCCTGCAGTTACCCCCTACCCTACCGGAGGCCCAATCCTAACCTAACTTAATCCTAAGCTTACCATCAGGTAATAAATAAAAAAAGTTAATTAAATTTAAATGGTATCCGTGACTGCAATATTACGTTGCCAAAAGTTTACTATAGAAAAATTTACTGGAATAACAAAATAAAACAATGTATTTTTACATTGATTTCATTTTATCTAGGTTAAAATGTATTCCCTAGTTTATTGATTGGTCATAAGAGAGACTGTTCAATTTATAGGAGCAGCAAAGTAATGTTGGGTATTTTTCTAAAACTATTACTTAATTGGGACTTTTGTTCTTTTAAAACGCTACACAAAAACTGTGTCTCGGCGACGCTGCCGTTACAAACTGCTCCTTTCACACACATGATACCCAGACCCGGGACATTAATTTGGTTTCACACACTCCGGAGCGGGAATTGGATTTGGCATGTTGGTCGATAGCTAGTTGACCAGTCACATCGCCAACTTGTTTGTAACACATTATCATCATTCACACATTTGATCATAACTTGAAGAATCTGTTCTAAGCTGAATTTACACTATACAGACTAGGATAAAATTGTTGTCGCGTGGTGGTTAAATGTAATGGGGTTGGTTGTCGGACTTGTTCATATGTCGTGGTATCGCCGGTTAAGGCGCCCTTCTCACTGGCGCCCTCTTCTTACTTCTCACGGGTTCGAAGCCTGGAAATTACCGATGTGTGTTTTTCCGAGGTATTTTTACTTTCTATGATTATTTAGATACCACTGACATTGTGAAGGAAAACATCGCCAGGAAAAATGGATTTATAATTTCTAATTATAAGTTATAAATCATCAATCCGCCTAGAGCAAGCGTGCCAACGCACAACACACTCTTCTCTGTGAGAGAAGAAGCTTTTGCTCAGTAGTGGGCACGTATAAGTTGATGTGTGGATCATGCCTTTACGTACTCCATTGCAGATTAAAAGTCGCAATTTCATGTTTATCATAAGAGTGTATATCAATACCATATCAAAATTGATCAATGCCCTTGACATTTACACACTTTACTTCCTAGAATCACAGACGTTATGACAAAAGTAAAAAAAGAAACTATTATTTAACTATGTATAGTCGACATCAATCACTGTCAACAGTCATAATAACATAGACATACACTGATGTGTTTAAGGATGTTAAACTGATATGTGAACCTAATGATTGGGTCCCAAAATCTTTGATGATGTAGGCACATAACCAACAAGTAGACTGGAAGAGAATGCTCATTGCATTAAGTCCGCATTAACTTATAAATAAATAACCAGAATCAAATCAAAGGTGTAGCGCGTTATGATGTACCGCGACCCAAATCAAAGCAGAAGGAGAGATGGGTTGGTTTTTAGTCGGTAAGAGAAGATGATTTTACCCCCTGGAAGATAAAATGGTAGTTAAGATAGACATATATAAATTGAGTGCAGTGCTGTAGTTGCATCCTTATCAAAAACATATTAATTATAGAAAGTTATATGCCATCTTAATAAACGATTTAGAGATCAGGGCCACGATTCGGCACGAATGGGTCGGCTCGGACGCGGAGTAATACCACGCACTCACAGAAAATCGGCGTGAAACAACCACAGCGTTGTGTTTCTCCGTGTGAGTGAGGTTACCGGAGGCCCAATTCTTCCCCTCCCCCAATCCCTGAATCTCCCAAATCCCTAATTCCCAAAAGGTCGGGTACGCACTCGTAACTCCTCTGTTGTTGTGGGAGTCGAGCGAGTCGAACTATCACATAAAAAAAACTAACCGACACAAAACAAACTTGAGATATGAAGACATTGTGTGTAACTTGTAGCAAAATATCCACAAAATAAATTAAATCTTTAAGATCATCGATATCTCCTAATTAATTATCGATATTGTCATTCATAATTATTATTGTGTGATTTCCCGTTGATTCGATCGTGATCTGTTTATTGCTTGTGACGTCAGAAGCAATCAATTACAAATTATTTTGTGTAGTCACCGGGATTTAGTGATCAGATTTATCAAGATATAAATCCCATATTGCCTTTCAGGAGCCGCGAATTAAAAGATTAGATCTATCTATTACTATGGGTATAAACTATCTGATATGAATATAATAATATTTATATTAAACAGCGATAGCACGACTGTTTACCTTAGGCTTTTATGCATAAAAATGTTCTTATTGTGATGAGAAATACTGGTGGTATATTAGAAATTGAGCTACAATTTTAGAAATCTTAGAAATCTCTTTCTGAATTGATGAATGAAACAAAAAAAATAATGACAAAAAAAGAAAATATTAGACAGTTGTTTCATTAAAATTATTGCTTACTAGAGTGTGGGCATCAAATTGGTACCAACCATAACTTGATATGCAATTTCACAAAGTAATGAAGAAAAGGTGTTAGATAAGGCCAACAAGACGCAAGTTCAAGATTGAAATTTAAAGAATCATGATTCATCCTCATTTAGCTGTTCGGAATATAATTTGAGACGATCAGCAGTCAATAAGCGATGATTTCGCGGCACCCGTCAATCATAAAACAATTATAGTAGTGTGTGATTGAAAATATGATCGACCTCACAATACGGAAGAGTATTAGAATAAAGGAATCTGAGCACTGGAAGATAAGCCAAACGATAATTCGGATAGAAGAGAAAATTATAATAAAATATTGAAAATAATGACACTCATGTGAAGTAATTCACGTAAGTAAGTCGTTATTTTTAGTCAATTTAGAATGTCTTTTTTGTGAGGGGGATATCACTTCACTTCTCCCGCACAGGGTTAGCCGCGAGGGAGAGTCAGACTCTTGCTGAGTAAAAACCTCCCGTTACTTCTCTTGCTCTAGGCCGAGACCGCGGTGACTTATTGCGCTTGTCCCGCAACTCCGGCAGAAATTTAGTATATCTGACGATACAATCATAGAAGACAAAATGGTTTCTGGTAACTTTACCTCCCATGTGGATCTGCACCATTCCCCAGAGCCTAATTAAATCAAACTAATTGATTCATTATTATTTTTTCACAAAAAAAAAAACTCAAATTATACAGATTTTCATCATATTTTCTTTATCTTGTATAAAATTTCTATCCTCATTAGGTATTTTGAAATGTGAGTATTCCAGAAAACCTTCTACATTTCTAATTATAGCTTCATTTTCCTTAATGAATTCATTCTGAACAGTATACTATTATAATAGTATTGGCCTACTACGCTCCTAAGATCACGTAGAAGAGCAAATTATTAATACCATTAAGGGTTTAATGATCATTTGTGTCACTAGGTGTTACTTTAATATTGTCAAGAGCCGTGATGTAAGTCTCGTATGCCTAATCATCATCATCATCATTTAGTATTTTTTACTAATCTATCAAGTATAATAAGAAATTTATGTCGAATAGTTTTTAATTACTGAGGTTATCATTAGAACTCCTTAGCACGTTCGCAGACGACGCGTGTTTTGTCACGTGCATATAGGTAGAATATTTTGGTGATAAGATTTATTTTTAAGTAATCGATTCTTTGTTTTCGCTAGATTTATTTAGTTTACTCTGTTTTATTGTTTTGTATGTGAACACAACGTCCTTCTTATTACTAAGTGTGGGAGATCCAAGCTTCGACACGAATGGGTTGGCTCGACCGAATTAAAACCACGGGCTCACAGAAAATCGGTGTGAAACAGCGTTGTGTTTCACCGTGTGAGTGATGTTTCCTGATGCCCAATCCTTCGCATTCCTCAATACCTCCCCAAAAGGTCGGCAACGCACTCGTAATTTTTGCGGTTGTCCATGGGGTGCCACCCATAGACAACCGCAACAACTGATTGCTTACCATCACGTAATTTGCATGCTCGTTCGCCATCCTATCACATCAATCAAATAAGTATCTACTGTAAGTATTCTTTGTTTTATTAATTTAGATTATTTTGTCTGGTGTAGCATAGAATTCAAAATCATACATACGTTGCTAAGAAATCTTATAGCATCTCTGACGATATATAGCGAGCTCAAATGAGACGAGATAATGATACAGCTCGTGACACAATCATTACTGACACCTTAGAATTTGATCGTTTCCCTGTTACGGTACGCGTAAATATAATTATCTATTGAATATCTTACCTTGTGTAGTACCTACTAAAAAGGTTGGTAGATCAAACAAGCAAGTATGTATACACGTGTGTATTGACTGTAGGCAGCAGTAAATTAATTGACAGTGAAATCTGTTTCGTTAGTTATAGAAATGATTTATTTATAAAATCCATTAACAATAGTTTTTATGTTGCTACCGTGAGACATATTAACTTTATTAAAATTGACAAAGACGCGTAGCCAGTTCGCGATGCTTGACATCGTCGCGACGCGCACTTTGCTAATAAATAGGAGACCCGTTATGATTTGAAAGAAGCTTTTAATTTTAATTGACGTAACGCGAATCATTGTTTATAATAAAAAAAATATTATAATTGAGCGCAGTACAAGACGTCCACCTTTAAGGTAGACAGACATACTATCAAAGTTCGCTCAGAGCTACTATGGGAGGACTGTGATCAGCAGTTGTCTTAAAGGGAAATGA